CTGGGTTCAGGCAATTCTCCTGCCTCAGCCTCCTGAGTAGGTGGGATTACAGGCACGTGCCACCATGCCCAGCTAATTTTTTGTATTTTTAGTAGAGACGGGGTTTCACTGTGTTGACCAGGATGGTCTCGATCTTTTGACCTCGTGATCCACCCGCCTCGGCCTCCCAAAGTGCTGGGATTACAGGCTTGAGCCACCGCGCCCGGCCTGAGGATATTTTTAAATACATCAAAATTTGGAAAATTCTCAGTCTTTTTTGTTTTCAGGTTACCTCTGTATTACTTTTTCTCTATATTCTGCTTCTAAGATGCTGGTCATTAATATATTGATCTACTTGATGGTGTCCAATAAGTTTTACATTCCATATTTTAATTTTGTTTTGCAATATTATATTTTTGTGTTATATATTTCAGGGTATGCCACCTCAAACCAGTTAATTGTGTTTTCTTATTTTGGTTTATATTATAATTGTGTATGACAATGTTTAACTCTGTACAATTTAAAACAGTGCTGAGCAAAATTAACTATGAATCAGCCATATGTCTATTGCCAATATCACATTACCTCTATGTTTGTTTCTCTGTATAAATATTATTCCTTTTTTTTGCCGGGCATGGTGGCTCATGCTTGTAATCCAAGCACTTTGGAGGCCAAGGTGGGCGGATCACCTGAGGTTGGGAGTTCAAGATCAGCCTGACCAACATGGTGAAACTCCATCTTTAAAAAAAATAAATAAATAAAATTTAAATATTATGCCTGTTTTTCTAATTTCAATGTCTATTGTGAATCTATATTATTTTTTGAGAGAGAAACACTTTGGGATTTGAAGATGATATTAAATAACAATCAATTTTTTTGATTTACTGGAATTTTCCAAACACCACTCTGTTTTTGTTTTTGTTTTTGCTTGAGACAGAGTCTCCCTCTGTCACAAGGATGGAGGACAGTGGTGCAATCTCGGCTCACCACAACCTCTGACTCCTTGGTTCAAGCTACTCTCCTGCCTCAGTCTCCCAAGTAGTTGGAATTACAGGCACGCATCATCACACCCAGCTAATTTTTGTATTTTTAGTGGAAACAGGGTTTCACCATATTGGCCAGGATGGTCTCCATCTCCTAATCTCGTGATCCACCTGCCTCAGCCTCCCAAAGTGCTGGTATTACAGGTGTGAGCCACTGTACCCGACTTGTTTTTCCTTTTCTTTTTGAGGCAGAGTTTCACTCTTGTTGCCCAGGCTGGAGTGCAATGGTGAGATCTCGGCTCACTGCAACCTCTGCCTTCTGGGTTCAAGTGATTATTTTGCCTCAGCCTCCTGACTAGTTGGGATTACAGGAGCCTGCCACCACGGCTGGCTAATTTTTTTGTATTTTTAGTAGAGATGAAGTTTTGCCTTATTTGCCAGGCTGGTCTTGAACTCCTGACCTCAGATGATCCAGCTGCCTTGGCCTCCCAAAGTGCTGGGATTACAGGCAATAGCCACCACGCCTGTACAGAACTTTTTTTTCTTCAGATGGGGTTTTACTCTTGTCGCCCAGGCTGGAGTAAAGAGGTGTGATGTTGGTGACTGCAAACTCTGCAGCCTGGCTTCAAGCAATTCTCCTGCCTAAGCCTATCCAGTAGTTGGGGTTACAGTCACCTTCCACCACACCCAGTTAATTTGTATTTTGAGTACATGTTGGCCAGGCTAATCTCGAACTCCTCACCTCAGGGGAGCCACCTGCCTCGGCCACCCAAACTGCTGAGATTACAGGTGTGAGCAACATTGCTCGGCCCGTTCAGATAAAGTTTTAGTAACTCTATGAAGATTTGATAAGTGGCAAATTTGACATTTTCAAATGGTTTTGTGATGACCAGAAAACATAAAATTATCTATTATGAATTTTCATAACAAGACAATTTGATACTTGTGATATCATTATTATTTTGTCTTTATGTGCAGTATTTATTTCAAATGTTTGTTAAAACAGCATTGTTATTTCTCAGGACAAGAGCAAAGATCACCTCCTGGAGAAGCTTAGGAACTCTGTACAGAACTTTACAGAACAGAGGCAATACTTTAGCTTAAATCTCAAGGAACAAAAGGAAACTAGGGAGGGATAAAGAAAAGGAAAGTGCCCATCTGAATCAAACTTCAGCTGCCAACAGGGCACATCTTGTGATGGTCACAGATTGTAGGCTGTTTTTTGGAAGGTTCAGGCTCAGCACAGGATTCCATTTGTCTACTTGGCTACACCCCTGGCTGAGGTGCCATGAGGTCAATGTCACTCAAGTTCCTGGCCAGCCAAACTCGCGCAGCAAAGAGTCCCAAATTGAGGATCAAGTTCCTCTGGAAGTCATTCCTATCAGTGGCAAAGCGGTAGACGCCCCTAAACGAATCTCCCACGTTGTCAGGTATTTCGGGGATTTCATTAGCAGAGCCGTCAGCGCTCACCTGGACCCCGAAGGAAGCCATAATAGGAAGCTCGATACTTGTTATACTATTACAAAATATTTCCATTATCTCATGTAGTAAGATATCATAAATTTAATAATCTTAAAATATTATAAACATGCTAGAGTTTCTCAAAACTAAAAAAAAAAGCAAAATAACTAAATCATTCAAAATTGGCTCTTGTTTTTTTGTTTGTTTTAAATGTAAAGTTTAAGGCTAATCATATGCATAATACAACTAGACCCCTACTTATATTAATACATTTACAATTTGACATGAGATTTGGGTGGGGATACAGAGTCAAACCACATCATTCTACTCCTGGCCCTCACAAACCTCATGTCCTAGTCACATTTCTTTTTTCCTTTTTTTTTCTTGAGGAATCTCACTCTGTTGCCCAGGCTGGAGAGCAATGGCGTCATCTCGGCTCTCTACAATCTCTGCCTCCCAGGTTTAACCTATTCTCCTGTCTCAGCCTCCTGAGCAGCTGGCATTATAGGCACCCACCACCATGCCC